AGACAAGCTGAGTAATAAAAGACAAACACATGAGTGTATTTCTTTGATGTATTCAGTTCAGTTGAGTGTGTGTGCTGTTTTTTGTCTGTTGGGGTCATCGAGAGTTCAGTGGCTCTCCTCCTCCACTCTGCCCACAGAAGAGCTCTGCAGCCCTGCTGAGCAGCCGCCACGCCCCGCTGACCCAGGCCTGCTGCATAGAAAACACATCTGCATGGGCCTCGCTACTCAAAAGCATCTGAAGGCTACAGTAAGATGATCCTGAAATCCATCTTAACAACCTACTCTTGTAGAAACGTTCATGGATTAACAGGTACGTCCGACCCACTACAGGAGGCTCAGAGCGTCTTAAGAAGCTCTGGAACAGTGTTTAATGCTTCTGTTCGTTTTGGAGTCATGGCCACTGAACCATTACATACACACACAAAAATAACTAAACATTTAATTTGCACTACTTATTGTACAAATGCTTAAAATATTCGTTATTGGGAAATTGGGCCCTGCTTTAGACCAGAAGCAGTTCGGCCACTGAAACCCCCTCAGCAGCCCTCAGTGACTCCTAAAACCCTCTTCACCCTTGTGTTTTGCTCACACTGGGTTTGCTTCCTTGTTCCTTGAATGTGCATGAATAATAGTAATACAAATTGCAAGAATTCTCCATCTTTTCCTTTTCTGCTCAGCCAACAGCTATAAGCCCAACATGTAGAAACAACCCTTCCTCCTAAAAAATACATTTTTACATATTGATGAAGTGTCAAGCACCCAGGTTGTTCAGGACCGACCGTGGTTCACACTCATCCCTGGAATCACATTAACCATTCCAGGGGGGCCTGCAACCCCACTTAAAAGACAACTGATGTACAAAGCAACACCCTTTTATTGTAAGGGTTTTTAAGATCAGATCTGGTTTTGAGCTGTGACTTTTGAACATTCAGACATATGATAATCAAACAGAGTGCACCTCCTTCCTTTGAATTGAACATAAATTGGCTACACACCAGGAGGCAGTAGGTGATGTAATTCATGTCTGTTCTTTTACAAGAAGAGGGAGGACAAAAGGTCACAAACCAAAAGTTGGCTGCAGAGGAACCTACAATTTTTTTTTTGGAAAGTGTGTTTGTCAGCAGGCTGTACTGTTGGGGTCAGAGGTCAGAGGGAGAACAGGGAGCAGAAGGTTATCAGGCCAGACATTCCTGTCCATCCAGTGCTAAGAAAGAAAGGCCAGGAGAGAAGAAAAAGAGGAGGTATTCCGCCATTATAATTGACAATTTATTTTCATCAGTTAAAACTGACAGATTTATTAGCATTTTGCAATGAAAAACTTAACACTTTTAAATCCCATGCAAGAGTACTTGCTTAATGAAGACTGTAGTTTAAAATAAAAAGAAAAAAAAAATCTTATAAAGTTATAAAAATGATACACATTTGTCCTTAATTCATAACTAATGCCTCTTTAGGTGTGATATTTTCATGGTGTTTTTCCACAGTATAAACTTGTCTTTCGTGAGTTATTGTGGCAGACAGGCCTGAACACCTATGACTGTTTGCCTTAGCTAACGTTGTGTACCCCATGACCCTGTGTCCTCAACACACACACACACACACACACACACACACACACACACACACACACACACACAGAGTCTGCATGCTGTGTTAGCCCGAGATAAACAAGCTATTGTGCCATGTTCTTTCAGCACCCTCTCTCTCTCTCTCTCTCTCTCTGTGTGTGTGTGTGTGTGTGGAAACAGGAACAGCTAAAGTGCATCAGCTATCCCCAACACTGGGGCGAAAGCAAGGGCACATCCATCACACAGAGACAACACACACACACACACACACACACACACACACACACACACACACACACACACACACACACACACAAACTCAACTCAATACAAAATGACAATGGACCAAACAATATTTAATGAACAAACATGTCTGACATGAAATCAATCAGTAATGGGGTAATAATAATTATCTAAGTCAAACTCTGCTGTTGAACCTGAGCAAGCAACACAGAGGCCACACACACACACACACACACACACACACACACACACACACACACACACACACACACACACACACACACACACACGTACAAAAAAAATAAAGATTATTTACTTGAACAGGCTGAAGCCTGGGTGCGGCTGAGGCAGGACATGAAAACAGCATTTAGCTTGACTGACTGTGGAAGGCCCGCACACCTTGTTACTGTCTTATTAAATGTAATAAAAGACACACTGAAAGAAAGAGGAAAGAATAGGATGAGTTTGAATTTTCAGAGACAAGTTTTATATCAACTTCAATACATCTAAGGTTTTCCAGCGTCTAGTGGCTGTTGGTAGAACTGCCTTTTATAGCACTCAGGCACTGGGTTCATCATTGAGTCATGGTGAGTGCTGTTGGACTGAGATAAACTACAGTTCACACATGGCACCAAAATGTGTGCTGCCGGTGGCTCCTTGCCAGTGACTTCCTGGAATCTTGTGGTCTTACCAGGCAACTACAGGGGATTCCAGGAAGGTGCCCAGCCCAGAAATAGACCAACACATGTCATTATTACACTTTGGATTTTGTATGGATGGAACAAACAAGTACAAACAAAGTATTCATCAGTGAGCTTTGGAGGTGCTGGTAGAAGCAGTTTGTTAACTTTGAAGTTCTGGGGCCTTACATCAAGTCAAGGTGCAGTTTTCTGAACTGTATGTGTTTATTTACCTTCACTCACCAAGGAATCATGAGTTTTACCAGTCTCGACTGCAATCGTTCCTTATATGAGAAACAGATAGAACAGTGAACTCAATTGGGAAATTCTGGACCTCATGATTTACATCCAGTGCCAACGTTAAATGTCAATGAAGGAAGCTGTGTTAGTTGCAGGAAGTATTCACAGAAATGTCCGATGGGGTCGATGGGGTAAGGTTGACACATGTGTCCTGTACCATAATATTCAGCCCAGTCTCACATCAAAGCGAGTGCAGTCTGGTAATTCTTACTGAAATCAGACCAGGACCATGTGAAAAGGTGGGACTGTCTGGTTGTTGGTCTGTACCAGAGTTCAACTGATAGATTTCACACCTGTGTAAAGGAACAGGCAAACTCACCAGTTCATTTGTACCACACCAAACAGTTTAGTGAGAGCACCCTACATTAGACCACAGATACAATGAGATTCATCCACTATTCTGTTACAACTGTTAAAAAAAATATATTTTGCAGGGCTTTGTTTATATAAGTGGCCTATAATCAAACAGCTCCATTAAAATGTCATAAAAAATGTATCAAAAGGAAATGCCAAGGAAGACCAATCTGCAAGCAATATTAATGTTGATATGTTGTTATTATGTGATTGCTTTGAGACTTCAATGAAACGTTCACACCGCAGACAGATTGCGCCTGTATTTAGTGCTGTCCACATGTGATTTGCTCACTCAAGTAGCGGTTAGTGCCATTGTGTGAGGGAGGGTCTGGTAGTCTGCACTGCTTCCTGGAGGCCAGACGATGAGGTCATGACCACAAGTTACCATCGATCAGCAACACTTTGACCACACAAACACCTCAGAGGCTTTGCCTGGGGAAACACAAGCCATTATAAGGCCTGAGGTTGCCAGGTGAGCTGACTTTATCCTCCTTTAATGGCTCCAGTGCAGCCGTGATCGAGATCTTTCCTGGTGCCTGTTACATTATTGTTGTTGGGTGAGTTGTAGGGTTGCCAGGTGTGGAGCTGTTCATTTCCCCTTTATGGCTCCAATTGACACATGATTGAGTTCTTTTGTCATTTTTGTATGTATCCTCATCATTGCCAGGTCAGTTTTAAGGTTGCCCGTTTACAGTCCCCCCAGTGCCCAGTTTGTGACTCACCATTGAGCTCCTCCTTTTGTCTTCTTATCCTGTCAGCTTCAGCCTTAAAGTTACCAGTGTTGGACTCTTCAATCTCACTGTTTGTCGCCATGTATTGCATGACTTCCCGTTTCTCTCGCTGTAGGTGCTGGGTCATTCGTTAATTGCCAGGTTTGTAGTAGTCCATCCTCTTTTTATGGCTCCCTGTGACTTGTGACTGAGCTGTGTCCTTAGTTTGTTTCTCTTCTCGCTGTTCTGGGTGACAATTACATCACTGTTTCTTAAAGTATGTTTTAGGGACTTACATTTATTTAGCAGGGTTATAGCTGTCGATTGAGCCTGGTCCGAGCTCCAAGGAGAGCTGCAGTAATAAAGCCTCTTACACTTCTACCAGTTTCTTTTAAACATACAGTGAAAATAAAAAAAACTCATAGGAACACTAGAAATCCTTGTGTTATGTGTTTTGGCGAGAATCTGGCGATATGATACATGATCACAATACAAGGGTTACGATTCAATATATCGTGATATACTGTGATACTGAAAGCAAGGCGATATATTGCGATAAAGAAGAAAACAGTGGTAATACAAATAACAACATATGAATAAAATTGTAAAAGAATAGTTTTTTTTTTTTTTTTTATGCAACCAGAACAGTGGGGTCTGCATTTGTATTTATCACAGTCACTGTTACATGTAACATCCTAGGCCTCAGTTTACACTGATATCTAGATGTTGGGGGTTCATCACAAGAATCGATGTGTTTTTGAGAATCAAAACAAAATATCACGATGCTCAAGTGTATCAACATTTTGTTGGGGTGTACAAAACAGACAGCAGAGAAATAAAAGAAATTGTAAAAATCTGAGAATGAGATTAACTTGACCAAATAGAGACAGAAAAAGACAGATAAAGAGGGGGTAGAGGGTAAAAAGTGGTCAAACTTTACCTTTATCATTCATTTTTCCTGCTCACTGTTCTCTTCTCACAATCTTGCAACCACTTATCCTAATACTGGGAACATCCAGGGATCTTTGAGATGGCTGTCAAAACCAAATGATTCAAATGGATTCAAAAACTTGGTTTTTATTGATTAAAAAAAAGCCAAAAAGGAAGATCCCTTATATGGTCTAATTAAACAATACAGCCACCAAAATGCAAACGGCACTTAAACCACAAGAAGACAAAATGCTCTGATATAAAAGTGTTTATTCTATAACAGTTCCAAACATGTGACTCAGGCTTTTCTCAACCTGTCTGTCCTCTTTCACAGGTTGACCTGACACCCTGTCCTGACACTATCACCACCACCCTCCATCTGTGTGTGAGTGTGTACAGAGATAGCCTAGCTCCTCAGAGTCAGGTTTCATTGACCTCTGTTGACCTTTGTCGGGGTCACAGTGAGGTTGGGCCAAGAGATGCTTGACATTTCTCTCTTCAACACCTGACCCAGCACATAACCAAGAGTGTGTGTGTGTGTGTGTGTGTGTGTGTGTGTGTGTGTGTGTGTGTGTGTGTGAGTGTGTGTGTGTCCAGCAGTGCCACAAGTCTTTATTTCTGCCCATGAGTTATGTGTGTAATGCAGGTTATCAGCCATGTTACAGTGTGCTGACAGCAGAGACAGTTTTATATGTATGACTCTACAGAGCTAACATCATGACAGGATGACAAATAGACTCAACACTGTTGGATTTAATTCAACTGTTCATCTACAAACCTTGATAAACTTTATTAATCCTTAAACAGAAGTGTCCAAACAAATAGTAAAATACATCCTTTAAGGATTCATACAGTAATTATATGAAAACAAATGATTAATTGCAACGGTTAAGACAAAAACTGTATGTCGAAAAAAAATCTTGCAAATGTAAGTAAAAAAAGATGTTACATTTTATTCATGCCATAACTTGTTTACATGGTAGTTCATTGTTAATGGATTTCACCCGGTTTACTGAGAAGACAAAAATGTCATGTTGTTAAAATTGCTGTGAGTCCTGTTGATGAAGATAATGAAACCTGACTCTGTAGGCCTTACGTTTAAAAAAAGAAACGCTTTGAGATGAAATGTCATTAAAAGCAATGGATATTTTGTGTGAGTGTAGAGCAGAAACAGGGTTGCTATTGTGTTAATGTGAAAAAGAATACTATTTTAAATGCAGGTTCACACTCACATGACAGTGTTACATTGACAGAGTTAAAGCTGCCATAATCTTTCTTTCTCCCTCTTCCTACTGGCTGTGAAGTGGGGTTACACTGTATGAGGTGGGGAACTAAATCCACAGTCCTCATTCTGTGCATATTCTAATGATAGACACATTAAGAACCAACTGGTAGTTGTGTGTAGGTTTTAAAACAGGCTGACTGCCAGGAAGTATCCGTCCACTGCAGTTCAGCAAAGATAAAGTTTGTAATGAAAAGACTGTAACTTTGGAAGATGAGCCAGTATGTTCGAGAGGAATTATTACAGTAATTATTAACTCTTCATCATACATCATCTGACATTGGCATCTGAATATTATCTTGTAGGGTGTGTTTGTAATATAAAAGCAGATTCCAGATTCTGTAACATTCTTTTTTCATCAGACTATTTGGCTAGTAGGCTAAAGAGGGATGCGCACACACACACACACACACACACACACACACACACACACACACACACACACACACACACACACACACAGCCCAGGGACAAACTCTCTGACGGTGGAGTGAGTTGGAGGCTGGCATTGTGTAGGCCTTCAGAGTGTGTGTGTGTGTTTGTAGGTGTGTGTGTGTGTGTGTGTGTGTGTGTGTGTGTGTGTGTGTGTGTGTAGGGTAGGGTCAGGGTGTTAGAGGTTGCGGGGAGGACAGGCGGAGGTGACGCCGCATCTTGTCTGCAGCACGGCATGGTGGGAAATCTGAGAACAGAGGAGGAGGAGGAGGAGGAGGAGAAGGAGGAGGAGGAGAGAGACAGAGTCAGAGACAGAGGGAGAGAGAGGTCAGCTTGTCATCACCATCATGTGGGTTATCTAAGATGAGAGGGGGAAGGGGGGGTGTATGGGGTGTCAATGAAGAAAGTGGCAAGATAGAGAATCAGATGAGAGGGAGGAGCGAGAGGGAGAATGTGTAAGATGTGAAGATATATTTGTATGTCAATAAACAGTTTATTCACAGGACAATTTGGGATTATTTTAAGTGACCACATATTTGATCATAGACACACCAAAAATTTAATTTATTTTGATTACATTTCCTTGACAACAGTGTCCTTTGCCAAAAAATTAAACATACTTTGTTGTATGTAATCCCACTGTGTTCCAAAGTATGAAATGTAAACTGAATATACACAGCTGAACCTAGTTTAATTCTATATTTCTTTTATTTCCAAGAAATCCCATGAAAAGACCAAAAAACCAACAATGAGTTTGTCTGTCTCTCAGTACGTTCTGACTTCCTGACTCTGTCTATGACTCTCAGTCCCAAGAACATTGGTTCCTAAGTACATCTTTAAAGACTGGGGCACAAATATGTCTCTAGTTTGATTTTTTAGAAAGAGAAACATTACTCAAACAGGCGGAAAAGTGAGTTTGCTGGGGACTATTTTCAGCAGCGTATTAATCTACATTTGGTCCTCTAGTGACTGTTTGGGGCAGCAGGACGGTGTATGCGGGATTGTCAAGATAAACTACAGTGTGTGTGTTCATGGTAATGAAGGAACATGTCGCCCAGTGCAACAGTGTGACTCACTGATGTGTTGTGTTGTTGTCCAAAAATAGTTTTTGGACAACAACGGAGAAGAGAAGAGGTGTTTGTTGTTCTGTCGATTAGCCACTAATCCTCAGTTAATAGAAAATGAAAGATTAAAGGATTGTTTACTTGATTTGGTTCCACCTGCAGCCTTTTTCCTTTGTTTACTAGATTTCTAAATTGTGCATTTTGTGTTTTTTGTCTAAGTTTGTAAATCTAATAATCGTCTTCTAAACAATAAATGCCTGCTGCATGCTGACAAAGGTGAAAGCTCCATCCTTATTCTTCTCGATCTGACTGCAGCCTTTGATACCATCGATCATGCCATTTTACTGGATAGATTATAGAACTGGGTTGGCATTTCTGGTACAGCCTTAAATTGGTTTAATTCCTACTTGACTAATAGAGTCTTTAATGTCTGCATTAATAATCATGTTTCCTCTTCCGCTCCCCTGCTGTATGGTGTCCCTCAGGGGTCGGTTCTTGGTCCAGTTCTGTTCTCCCTGTACATACTTCCTCTGGGTCATTTGTTCAGCCGCTTCAATGACATGTCATACCACTGTTATGCGGATGATACACATCTACTTTTCTGCGAAACCCAATAACCTGAATCAACTGTCCTCCCTCCATGAGTGTTAACTGCCACCAAAGACTAGATGTCTCTTAATTTTCTCCACCTAAATCCGGATAAAACTGAAATCATTTTATTTGGCCCCGATAAATTTGTCACTGCAGTTGATCAATTTATTGGACCACAACGTACTAATATCAAACCCACTGCTAAGAATCTGGGTATCATCTTCAACCAGCATATGACATTTGACCTTCATGTCACAAAACTTGTGCAGTCCTGTTTCCTGCAGCTACGAAATATAGCAAAAATCTAAAGATTCCTGTCCTCCAGTGATCTGGAACAATTGACTCACACCTTCATTTTCTCCCGTCTAGATTACTGTAACTCCCTCTACACATGCCTCAGTCAGGCTTCCTTAAAGGGACATTGTGTAGGAATTTCTCCCATCTAGCGGTGAAATTATATTTTGCATTCAAACGAATAGTGCTCTCTAGTGCCTCGCGTTTTCAAATGCGTATTGCAACTACGGTAGCCGTTATGTACCAAGAAGCCTACCTGTTGAGGAGAAAGCAGGCAACTTCAGCGTCCCATGAAAGTCTTTCTCCTTCAAGAGAAAAGCTACCCCGATGTTTACCCTCGTTTTTTGAATTTGACGGCCACGTTTCCTTTTTAATTCCCTTTTTCGCTTTTTTGGCGACGAGGATTCCTTCTCCTGTGGCTCGGCATAAGTATGATCCTCCATTATTAACTAAAGTGCTAGACAGGTAGACTAGTGCGTTATGTCCCTCTCGGCGATTATAGTTTTTCAAAATGGCGGAACGACATGGAAGCCTCCATGGACTTGCCTGTCCAATGTATATACAGATAAGAAATTCTTCGCTTACGAGGATAAGTCAGATCATTGGCAGAGGTAATTTTACACCAATGAGGACACATTTATGAATGAAGACATTGATTTTAGCTAATAAAAATAAAACACTACACAATGTCCCTTTAAATCGTTTACAGTTATACAAAATGCAGCCGCCAGACTTTTAACCAGAACCAGCCGTCGGTCCCACATTACTCCTGTCCTTGCATCCCTTCATTGTTCCTGTAAAATTCAGAATCAACTATAAGATCTTACTGATTACATATAAGGCACTTCATGACCTTGCCCCGAGTTACATTTCAGATTTCCTTGTTCCTCATTCCACTCCTTGGCCACTCCGCTCCTCAAATCTTGGCCTTTTATCCGTTCCACGATCTACCTGTAAATCTAAAGGTGACCGTGCCTTTGCTGTTCTAGCCCCAACATTGTGGAATAGTCTTCCCCAATCACTTAGATTCACTGAATCTGTGAGCAGTTTTAAGCGGCTGCTCAAAACCCTCCTCTACAGGCAATCCTTTTTATAGATCTCCTTGTTTGTTTTCTCTTCTGTCGTGTCTCTTTTAATTTATCCTTCCCTCTTGTTTTATCTTCCTTTGTTTGTTTTTACATGCTCTCTAGGTTTGTGTTTGTGTGTGTAATGTTTTATTTATTTGTTGTTTGGAAAGCACGTTGGATCTCTGTGTCAAAAAGGTGCTATATAAATAAAGCTTTACTTACTTACTTATTTACTTTAACTGCCTGATTACATACAATACATACATAATTATTGCTCAAGGTAACCGAGATGGAACATGGGAAATGCTTTTAAAGAAGTAATTTCTTTATTTGGGGATGTTCCTCTTTTACAGGTTTGTTGTTAGGGAATCTTAGCCAGTTTGTTTAATTGATCAGACAGTTGGTATAGTACATTGACTTCCTAAAAAAAGACTGAAGTGTTGAAAGGTGGGCAGCCATGTTTCAGCTCATAGATTCAGACATGAAGGATGAATAGCTACGCAGCGGCTGCTAGAGCAAAATAACACAGACAAATATGAGCCAACATTAGCCTGCTGCTTCTCACAGTGATCCATTCAGCACTGCATGCTGGATGCCAGAGGAAACATTAGCCTTCTGTAGCGCTGCAGCATCCGTCCTCCTCGTTAAAGCCAAGAAACCCAGGCGATAGGACGCGAACCTCATGCAGGAGTTTGAATTTGCCCTGAGGCAGGTGAGCCCCGCGGTGCAGGTGAGCCCCACGGTGCAGCTCGTCCACAGGGCTCTGCGGCCTCTGCTTCATTCATCACCGGGCTGACACATTCCTGCTGTCTGCCTGAGGCTCACACTCACACACACACACACACACACACACACACACACACACACACACACACACACACACACACACAGCAGGCTGTTGTACTCCCACACAGTGCCATACGGTCAAACTGACAACCCTGCTCACCCCAAACACAGAGTCCATTCTGTTTGTTAGCCGGAGGTGAAGAACACTGGGATTCAATGTCAGTTGTTTTTCAGGAGATAGATGGTTTAACAATTATGAAAGTTACAGAGATTTCTGCAGATGCCCAAACTGAAAAATTAGCTAGATGATAGATGAAACCTCATATGTGACACAAACGCTGTTGGGGTCAAGGGTTCAATTTCTTGTGTCTAGAAATGAAAACAAATTCTATGCACATATAATAACATATCTTCACAAACAACCTCAAAGCTCAAAACTCAAAAAGTTTTTCTCCTGTTCCTGTTGGTTTTTGCTCACTCTGCATTTTACTATTTTAATTACTTTTCTCCTCATGACTGTCAGTGCAAAATGTCAACAGTTTGATTAACAGGAACTCACTCCCATGTGTACTGTTGATTTTTTATGTGAAAATGAAACCTGTACCTACGACATTTTGACTGGAGACTACAGCAGTAGTGTACACGGGCTGGCAAACAAGCAGGGGTTAACTAACCCATACTGAACTAAACTAAATCGAAGTTGACCACAATGAAATGTCTGGGTTCTACAGACCTGGGATACCACTACATCTAAATGTTTAGTCTTCACCCTCCTCACCTGAAAGGCCAACGGACTGAGAAAAAGAACATAATGAGGTTGAATTCTATTTATGTCTGTTCAACAAGGTGGATGGGATTCAGAGGTTGTCTGGCATGTTTTTTCTTTTTAATATATTTTGTGGGGTACCCACAACAGCTTTAATTTAAAAAAAGCCTCATAGGTATCTTTCCGCTCTGTTTTCATACCACCAGAATGCTTCATTTACATTACACCCCCTTATATGAGTTCTGTCTCAGAGCCTACCGTCCCACTCTGAGGCCTGGTTATTATGCTCTCATTGTGCTCACTAATGCCAGGAGAGAACTTGTAATCTAAAGAAGTCATACATGGAAGTGTCAGTAATCTCCAAAACCTCGTTGTTTTGACCATTTGGTTGCCTTGAACCTGGATGCTCCAGTCATAATTTAATCCTTTCTATCAGCAGTGGATAACAGGATTAATCCTCTGTGGAAGTGGAGCCAGGGGCATCATAGGCTAAAGTCTGGCCCCCCCACATAGCACCATATTTCAGGACATTCTTTTCTTGTGCTGAACCATTTTTCAACTGCCACAGCTCCACTGGGGATGTTTGTGCATTGTACTGGCCCTCCACAACCCACTCTGCGTTCACCTCAAACACTGCTGTGCTCTAAGGGGGGATCAAACACATCCTGCTGCTAAGTTTTGTCGAGTTTTGTTTCACATAGAAAGGAATGGGAAGTGAGCTTGGGTCTGACTGCGTCATAAACAGTGATGCTAAAATCAGTTGTTCATCAAAGTAAGAACAGAAACAGGAACCAAACGCCAAACAGCAGAAATTCAGGTCAAAGCTACAAAAGTAGTGAAAGCTGCTGCTGATGATAATAAATAAATAAATATAATGACTTTGTTCATGGACACTGGATAGATTTTAGATATTGGTCATAAGCAAACATCATAATCTGACCAATGCACAGTGCCATGTCATACAGAAAAACCTGAACCCCCCCCCCCATGAACATTATCAGGCTCCACCGCTGCCACTGTGCTCCACATGAAACTGAAGGTTCACAGTGAACTCTGGCAGTGTTAGATTCCAGCTGTCTTGGCAAATTGAACTACTCAAAATATGAGAAAGTACCTAAACTAAACTCTATACTGAAAAAAAAAAAAAAAAAAAAACACCTTAACGATGAGCTCCATTTTGGTTCAGCAGTTTGGCGTTGATGAACGGATTCCACTCTGCTGACCAATGAGCAGTCAGGAGCGTAACTTCCTGGTTTCAGGTTATTGGCTTGTACACAAAGAGAAAGGCAGATGCTTTGGCACATGTTCTACCAGCAGCATGTAGAAACAGTGCAAGTGTCTGTGTGTGAAAGAAACATGACTCAGTGTGTATGGGGTGTGTGTGACAGCAGTGTGTGTGTGTGTGTGTGTGTGTGTGTGTGTGTGTGATGTGTGAGCAGTGTGGAAGACGGATGAGTGTGTGAATTCATCTGACTTCCTGTGTACCAGTCAGCTGGAAGCTTTTGACTTGATTAAAGCCTTTGTGTGTGTGTGTATGTGTGTGTGTTTGTGTGAGAGATCGCGAGAGACAATGAAAGACACAGAGTAGACAGAGCAACATGGAGAGACACAGTTTGTGTGTGTGTGTGTGTGTGTGTGTGTGTGTGTGTGTGTGTGTGTGTGAATAGATGAAAGTATGATCAACACGCACAACCCTGAGTATCAGAGTACGCGTCTGCATGTGGCGTGTACAGTAAGTGTGTGTGTGAGTTACAAACCAGATGCTGCCTGCTGGGAGAGACAAGACTGTCTGGCACAAAGAGATGAACACCACCTGGACCAGAGAGAGAGAGAGACAGAGTGTCAAAAAGTATTTTTCACCAATCATGACACCCTAAGATGCAAAAAGCAAACTGTGTGAAAACAGTGAGAGAAGTTTGTGTTTCCCCATCAGGAAAGAATTACATGAATAAAACACAAGTGGATACAGGAAGTAGTTTGACTTTGAAGTGACAATATGTGAAAAAAATACATGACATTTTTAGTCTCAATCTGTGTCAGATATACAATCTGAAGTGTATCAGACTGAGCAGTTAATACTTGGTAATATACAATGGCACTTTGGAGAGCGTGTTCTATTATTTCATGCCATATTCCAATTGGTTGGTTTATAGGTTCGGGTCATAGCAGCTGTCCTAAATTTATCACACTGTCAGTATTTGGACACAGACTGTCTGTGGTTGCCAAAGCTCTAAATCAGCTGTCGTTGGACCTGTCTCACAGCGTAATCTGGGACTGCTGTTTTTGTCTGACGACCAAAGATTTTAACATGATGCCAGCTTTTGTCTGTAAGTATGTGAAGATTGGCAGGGCTGCTGGGCAGATAAGGCCATTTGCATAGTTCTTTAGCCAAGCTGGTAGCGTGGCTCCAGGGATGACATGAACTTTTATTGAGAAATTCACGGTCACTAGAGAATAAATTGATCTCCTGACTTTTCATCTTGAGCCATCAGCAGGTTGACATTTGTGGTAATGCCTCCACAATGGGATGGACTGTTGGTACAATGTGGAAAAAATGCACATCCAAAAAACTCTTCAACAGGTGCTGGATTTAACAGGAGACATGGTGGCAAAACGTATAATCTGTACTAATTAGCAGTGAATAAAAAACATTCTAGGAGCAGAGGCTAGAGTAGTAGCCATGACATTTATTGGCAGACATTCATGTTTCCTATTCCTGTTAATCAAACTTCTAATTTGTTCTTTACATTTATGACCAAATTCCTGAAATTTACATTCCCATCAGCCTCAGCTGTTCTTTGAGTTTACTACTAGTTAGCAAATTCTAACATGCCAACAGGCTAAACTGAGATGCTGCACATTGCAAACATACCTGCTATACATATGCATGTTAGCATTGTCATTTTGAACTTGTGAACATGTTAGCATGTTTGTGTTAGAATTTAGACATGTAGTCCTGTTTTGTTTTTTGTCTTGTTTTCAGTCTCAATGTGATTGGCTTCTCTGTTTACGTCCTTTGCCAGGAATCTATGTTGATGCCTATTTTTACGTAGAAAAGGAAAACAACTATTTATAGGCACAAGTAAAATGGAGTGCGACCATATTACTATATGCATGTGAAGAATTATTATCAAATATTGTGTGGCTTAAATGTCCATCAGAGTCATTGTATCTCTTCTATCTTCTTACTAAAGATGCAATAATGATATGTGCGACATAACCTGCACACCATATCTGGGAGTATACTGTATACTCCAACTGGAACCAGTCTCAGACCACCTCAGACAGCTGGACTTGGTAATGTTTGAGTAAAGTTTCTTCGGAAGACAATTGTAACTAACACTAGCTGCGAGTAAAAAAAAATAGTAGAGTATAGGATAGGATCCAAGTTAATGCTAACATTAAATGTGCCATTCAAAATTAAATTGTTGTATATGGTGATATTGCGTCTGTCACTGTAGTCACTTTACCGTTAATGTCTCAAAAATACTATATATACCATATATAATATTGTCTTTAAAATGTTTGTACTTTATATTTGTATGTATGAGATCAGAAAATGTACCACAATCATACCCTGACACTGACAACACAAGACAAGTTCATGTTTTCACTTTTACATGCAGACATAATTTGTGATACAGTCCATAGGACTTTTTTTTCTTTTGTTTTTGTATTCCTGGAAGCTGCATGTATTATCGTTTGATGTTTTATAAATAGTGGTGTCTAGTGTAGCGTTACACAGAAATATAACTCATGAACTAACTAACTACTGCATAGTACTGGACTAACATTATCTTGTCAAACAGGCCAACATCACCTCCATTTTACCAGGTTGACCTTTTTTCATAGGTTAGTATTTCTTTCACACCTAACCTGCAATATTAAGCTATTTCTTTCACAGTACATTAATTATTCTTAAAGTGCTGAGTGCAAAACTGAATTGTTAAATAAAATTCTTATAACAACATAGGAAGTGACCTGGGGTCCCCTGACTTCAGGTCTGCAGCAGAAATCAAACATAGCAATCAAAGGCATGCAGAAAGACACAGGGTTCATATTGTAGCTATAACCTAAAAAGTAGGTTTTCTGGCTACTTCACTCAGCACTTTAGTTCAGCTTCAACTGCTAATATTTACTGTCATTAACTAATATTTCAGCCTGAAGCTCCCACCACATTTCAAATGCTGCACCAATACAAGTTTTGGGGCAATGAAACCAAATGTCAGCAGTAGGTATACTTCAGGGGGCCTGGGAGATGACGTCATTCTGTCTGTGTGTGTGTGTTCGCGTGCCTGAGTGTGTGTGTGAAGAAGGGGAGGAGTCTCTCTGTCCCTTAGGTCTATTGCGGCGCTGTCCCATCAATAACCTTCATATTGACAGGTGAAGGGACACACACAGACAAGCAGGGACACCCCCACAGTGTGACGACTCTCTCTGTGTGTGTGTGTGTGTGTGTGTGTGTGTGTGTGTGTGTGTGTGTGTGTGTGTGTGTGTGTGTGGGTGTGTGTGCGTGTGTGTGTGACAGTCTTTCTAAAGCAGCAATGTGAATGAGGTTTTCAGGTTTAGGAAACATCTATGTCTTCAGCTCCATCAGTGAGCAGGTGGTCAGTCCAGTCTCATCTGCCTTCCCCTCTGTCACACACACACACACACACACACACACACACACACACACACACCAACAGAACAGCTCTCTTGGAAAGGACAGATGTGTGTACTCCAGAAAGTGTACACAGAGGGAACATCTGTCAGGCAGTCGGCATCTCTCATGTTCTCTCTCTCTCTCTCTCTTTCTCTCTCTCTCTCATGCTGTGTGTGTGTGTGTGTGTGTGTGTGTGTGTGTGTGTGTGTGTGTGTGTGTGTGTGCGACAGTTTTATAAGAGTGAATGAAGAAACAGAAAGAATCACTGTGGAAACTCAGTCTTTTATAGATAGTTTTATGTTTGTGTGTGTGTGTGTGTGTGTGTGTGTGTGTGTGTGTGTGTGTGTGTGTGTGTTGCTGCGGATAATTAAATGCCAATAGGGGAGAGAATCTCATTTGCAGTGAAGGTCTTTATAGCAGAGTTCCCATGTCAATCACACACACACACACACACAAATGCGCACACACACACACACAAATGCGCACACACACACACACACACACACACACACACACAGGTTAACGAGGAAATTAAGGGAGAAAAGAGAAGAGCAAATGAGAACAAAGGAGAGGTTTAGATAGAAAAAGAGAGAGGAGGAAGTTTATGAGAAGGATGTGTAGGTCAGACATGAAGGAGAAGAGAAGGAGGAGGACAGTAAGGAGGAAGAGGAGAAGATAGAGGTGAGGAAGAGAATTTAAGACAGGAACAGTTTAAAGAAGAGAGGAGGAGGAGACCAGGGTGTAGGATAAGAAAAGTTACTTTGAGAGAGGAGGAAGTCAGGGAAAATTAGTTAATACAGGGGGTAAAAGAGGAGGACAAACAACAAGAGGAGAAAGAGGAGGAGAGGCTGGAAGAGGAGCATATCAGAGAGGAGGTAGTCGGGGAAGAGGTCAGGGAGGAGCAGGAGGAGGTGTGCAGCAGTCAGTCCTGCTGAATAATCTAAAGTGACAGTTAATTTAACTGCTGACCGCCTGTGACTCTACTTTCACACTCTTTGTATGATACAGGATACTGAGCACACATTCAACCATTGATAACCTCAATGACCATTAAAGCTAGACTGCTGACCACCAGTAAAGGGTACGTAGCAGGTTGTTAGTGTTGCCGGAAGACCTGGAGCTGCAGTTCCTGTGGAAAAAAGGGATACAATGGGATACTTTTTCATTTCTAGTTTGTAGCATACACTGAATGAACCAGTTACCTGATGAGGTAACTGTAGAGGCTTCACAGGTCCAAAACGTCGAGAGACCTGACCAACAAATTAGAGTAGATTAGAGTTCAAGTTAAAGTTAGACTGATCAGAAATGCCTGAACAGTGAACCTCAGCAAACCCTGATCAAGAGAGGACACCAGCAGTATGACGTGCTACAAAAAAAAATTAACTAAATAACTCAAATAAATCTTTTTCATAGGCAGATTTCATAAAATATTTCTTCCCACAGTGACTATGACATACCTCATGATCAGAGCTGATACTGAGCACACACATCTATTTGGATCACTTATGACAAAGAGACCCGTGGTAGTAAAACAAGACCCTACCTGACCATTAGAGTTTAATTTGAACCGGGTGGTCAGAACCGCATGGACTTGTGAAGACCTCTAAATTGGAGCTTTTAAGGCCTCAATATGGTCTTGATTAAAGTGTTGGTCAGATCAGCTCCTTTCGCCTAAATTGGTGGGCTTCATCCAGCAATCTTAGTAACGTTCTAAAATAAACAGCTATTTGGATGATTCCTTGCATAAAAGACACTGAGTCTGAAAAAAGTTCAGCTCCACCTTTAAATGCTGGACACCACACGGTTGTAGTGTTGTTCTTGTGTTGCCAACTCAAAATCCATCAAAAGGCTCTTTTTGCTTGCTCCCTCAGTGTCCCTCTGGTAATCCCCAGAGCTGTCCGAAACTGCAAAACCGATGCTGCCGGGTAAGCTATACCAGCCTGTGCAAAGAACAGCCATGCTTGCCATTCTTTATCTCTGTATTCCTGCACTGGAGGTTAATGTTTTCAGTCTTTCCTCTCATGTGCTTCTTGTCAGCCCTGTTCCCATGGCATTGTTAGTTCCACCACAATTATCTTCTTTTCTCCTGGACCACAGCCCCGTATCTGTACATCTGAAAACTACAGCTTCCCTCCAACCAAAACCATCATCACCTATGATCTTGCCATTTGCAGTAGAGTGAGTAGGCCTTTGGGACATACCTGGCTCAGCTCCCTTACGCATTGAGCTGACTGGTCTGAAACTATATAAACTATAGTTATATCATTCTCTTCAAAGCCACCAGACTGCTTTGACAAAAACAGTATATTAGTAACTCCAGAGTTCTTAAAATAAACTAGACCAGGTGTTGCTTATCTACCCGTGCCTTGACTATTTAGTTAACATGTTAGTTTGGATTTACATTAATCTTTTAGAAGACCAAAATCACACAATAACACAAACCAACTAACCGGATGAGGCAGCGGTGGACCAGCAACATCCCTCTTAAGTGAGGCAGAATTACTGTTTTTGGCAATAGAGTCTGGGGATTTTAAAGAGAGCTGAAAGAGCTGTCTGATAGCAAGTAAATGAGTTGAAGGTATTCTAAATAGAGCGTACACTTAAAGTGATATTGATTTTTTGTGTGACTAAAATACGTTTTTCTGCTCCCATCCATACATTGCTTAGCTTCTGTGGTGGTACTTCTGTCTGCTTCCTTAAACTGCTTGCGTGCTGACCGTCATACTGTGAGTATATATAGGTAAAATGTCTCATACAGGCTCTTCAAAAAATCTAACTCATTGGGATATTCTGCACTGTAACTGAAGATTTTGTGAACATACTATGCTTTGCTTAAAAATACAAACAATCTATCTCTCTCCCTCTTGCAGTGGGAGGGAGGAGAGAGGAGGGAGAAGTGAGGGGATAAGGAAGAGTAGAGCGAGAAAATGTGGAAAGATGATCTAATGTTAATACATTCACACACACAATTAACACTGAGCCTGAGAGGCCATCACGTTTGTTTCTCTCTCTCTCTCTCTCTCTCTCTCTCTCTCTCTCTCTCTCTCTCTCTCTCACTCTCGCTCTGTGTGTGGACCTGTGGATTGATGTGTGGTCAAATGAAAGAGGAAGGCTGGTGGATCGCGCTTGAATGGAGCTTAATTTACATGCTAATGTGTGTGTGCATGTGTGTGTGTGTGCGTGTGTGTGCGTGTGTGTGTGTGTGTGTGTGTTATAGTGCTGTGGATGATTATTTTAGTCTGGATCAATGGTGAGATGAGCTGACACTGCCTCAAAGTGATGTCACTCACAGACACGCAGTTGACAGGTTTTACAAAACTGACCAGTCATTCTACCACAATGTCCAAGATTGTGTTTCCAAGGGAGTCACTCCTTATCTCACAACCTCTCTCAGACTTCAGACTCTCTTCACAATGGAGCTTTTGACATGTCATAACAGCAACAGCGTAGGTGTAATTAATTACATTAATGATAGCTGCATTCCATATGTCAGCTCCAGGTAGGTATTATGGATGCAGGTCATTGTCAAGGCTTACTGAGACGTAAATGGAAATGAGCCATCATTAATGTTATTTAGTGACACCTGTACTTTTCCTGGAATGACAAGCACCCCAGTTTCATACTAATTTTTACCCAGGGTTTGAGTAAGTGTTTATGTGGAACAAAATATCTTGATTTGGGTAATAGGAGAATCATATCTGATATTTGATTGGATGCATGAACGGCTCTGTTGGATCGCCACCAGAAACCTGCCTTTGCATCCTGATTCCTGCATGTGGTTAGGCTGTGTCTCATATGTCACTGTTGACTTTTTCAGTATTAAAACCAATTCCACCATCTTTCCCTAACCTTAAATGTACTAAAAGTATTTTTAACTGGTTATAAAACAGTCTCAGTTTAATAATGCCTCTGTAGGACCTACATAAAGAAACAAGACCATCAGCGAGTAGATTGGCTGTTTCTATATAGTTAATCTTAATGCCTGCGACTGGATCAATGAAAAGGAAAATAAGAACAATAGGAGCTGTGTGTTAATGTGGTTTTACATATATATTGTCAGCAGCAGTACTGACCTCCACTACTGTCATGGACCCACCTGATCATCTACATCCTAATCAATCAATCAATCAGCTCATCAATCAGCCAGTGTTTCCTCACTGTGTAATTGTGAGCTTAGGGAGGATGTACACAAACTGCTACTGTCTGGATTACTAACATGGTAGACTCAATCAGCTGTTGAGATATAAATATTAAGTCTAGTAATACAACAACCTTCCTCTCTGCAGTAATACAAGTATTAAACAGTGACGTCTTCCTTCATTCCTCCCTTCGTTAAAGACGGAGAGGGTGGAAGAACAAAAGAGGAGATGACGATTTCAATGAAGACAGTGAGGAGGGATGGCACTGAATCCACTGTTGCCGTAGCAACTGAGAACCCATCACCCACTCCCATCAAGGCCCCCGACCCCTCATTTACAGTCGGATCCCGTCAGGTCCCGACCCCGGCCGACACCGTAACCATGGCAACCAGGCAGATGCAGACACGGAGTGAGGCAAATTGCAAGGATAGATAGATAGATAGATAGATAGATAGATAGATAGATAGATAGATAGATAGATAGATAGTTTATAATTGTGAGCCTGATTGAGCCTGCATCCAAACAAAGAGTAAATGTTTTGGCTCTTCGGATGCATCTTTTGTCTTAAGTAGTTCAAATTATCAAAAGCCACCCAAACCAAATAAAAAGCAGCCCAGCTGGGTGGGAAACCCACTCAGTCTGGCAACAGAGACTATCAGTTCAGGGTTTATGCACTTCACTGATAAAGCAGAGAATTATACAGAGTTACAGTCCATGACATGAGAGTTACTTCTGTCCATATACACACGCCCACATGTAGATAATTCATTTCTTGATCTCTCGCTCTTCATTTTTCAACAGGTTAAAAGACTATTCACGACTTCGTACTGGCAAAAAAAGGATGATGGATAGGAAGGAAAATCACTGTTGGTTCCATGTCAGTGTTGTAGTTCTTACAGCATGATCAATAATATTTTCCCAAACACATTTAAATTAAGACTGAAAAAAATTCAGGAATTTTTTACTTTTTAAGACCCCCATGGACACCCTGTCTCTCTTTGGGGACTCATTAAGATGACACTGGAAAAAATATTGTAATAGAGTACAATAGAAAACATAGTTAGTGGCCAGTTTACATCACTTGGTGGGAAGAAAATTACAGACTATAGACGGACTCATGCCAATAGTCCATTCTGCAAGTGCAACCACAATGAAAGTGAAAAATGATTTGTGGGTTGTTCCTAGGTCCATGCTACACCCTTACACCAAGTTTCATAAAATACAGCCAGTAGTTTTTTTTGTAATTTTGCTGATAGAAACAAATGGTCAGTGTTGTTGGAAGATTGTGGTTGCAGTTTATGAACCTTACAGGTCCATGACAGCACACAAACTCTGATCTCCTGCAACAAAGTCAGGTGCGGTACACACTCATCTTTAACTCCACTCTCCACACCTTTACTTTTCACCATACTACATAAAGGATGCACCACTTCCTGCATTGACACAAACATAATTCCTAAGGTACGTAACCTAGTTACAGTTTAGTGAAGGTCACCTGAGAACAGCTTTCAATCACTTTATATTTTTATGCACATTTATATCTTGTGGAAGAGCCTCCAGGGTTGAAATGGTTTGGTGGATAACTGACTTCTCTCTCATTTGGTGACTTTTTTTCTTATCCACACATGTACTTAGTTGTATTTTCTTATTACCCTAACCTCAATGATAAATTAGTATGCTCCAATTTGGTTCCACAGATTGGGTTCTTGCAACCCTGATGGCAATTACAGATGTAATGCATATACTCAATACAATAGTGCTTACAAATGCATTTATTTTAAGTATCCCATCTCTGGAAAAAAAATCCAATCCCAAGAATCATCTCCTGTATGTGGTTAGTCATCAACTTTATCACTTGTCCTGGTGGAAAAGTCTATGTCGCTAAGACAAAAAGAGAGTTAAGGATAGATAGAATAAGCTGAACATCACTGCTAGATGTGATGAGGGCTGGGACTCTTTATTGGTAAGGCGAGGGGAAGCCTTCTCAGAACCACTCAGAAGCATTTCTATCATGGTTTTGGGCAGAGAGAGAGGGGATGACACACAGCAAAGGACCGCAGGTAGGATTCGAGCGCTGGGCCGCTGCAGCAAGGACTCAGCCTCGGTACATGGGGCGCCAGCTCTACCCACTGAACTAACCAGGCTCTCAACTATTATGGATTTTAACAATACAATAACATAGGTGTTTGCTTTTGATTTTAAGTTTTGAAAGGTTTGGACTCCCCTGTCCTATAATTTTCTGTGTCAGAGGGCAATGGTCACATATATATAAATATTTCTGTTGATATAGATTCATATGTTGTGGATCATTTCTCCAATTTGGATATAAGATGTTTATAGGATTTTTGTTTGTCTGTGTTTTTATATATATATATATATTTCTTTGTTTTTCTTTTTTTTGGCCAATAATTTGCTGCTTGGCCTTCCTTGAATTGCCCTCAAGTTAATTTCCTCAAATTATAACACCTGTCCTAGCTAATGTAAATGCCAGTCAAATGACCTGCGCGCCAGCACCTCACTAGAATATTTGTGCATATTCCTATTTTCTGTGTGTTTTTATATAGACAACTCACTTGTACCACAAATGTCTTTACAATTTTGCAACAGGGTCAACTTGTCTATGAACAGAACACACCTAATTTCACTTAATTGCAACACTATATAATTATTAAAATCAATAACATTACACATTTAAGTCCAGCCTCTAATTCAGACACAGTACAGAGTGCCCCCTAGTGTTGTTCATGAGTACTGCAGGAGGGGGCTGGGTTCACGACTGCAGTGGTGTGTGTGTGAGGTGTTAAGCCTCCTACTCAGTGACAGCACTCAGAAGACTCAAGAGGCTATCTCCTTTTCCCTGTCACACACACACACACGCACGCACGCACGCACGCACGCACGCCCATACGCACACACACACACACACACACACTGACCCTCAGCTCATATTGTGGTTACAGATTTGCAAGCTATCAGTGGGAAGCAAGCTGTGACCTAAGAACTCTGACTCTATCCTGCAGAACTGATCTGATTTTAAAAATCAGATTTCACATCAACTTTCTTAATCATGATCATTCATTTATTTAATACATAAATGGTGTAAAAACCATATTAACTTTTGTGTATATAAGACATTTTATCTACAACATCACTGTAATGAATATAGTTTTTTCACATACTTTTATCAAACAGATCATAATCCATGTAGCACGGTATAGAGACGGCTAGACGAAAGAAAGAAAGAAAGAAAGAAAGAAAGAAAGAAAGACAGACAGAAGGAGTTCAGCATTATCGACCACATTCTCCAACGCTTCACAAAACTTTACTGCACAGCCATACCCTGGGGCCCGTTGCCATGGCAACACAGTGATGGAGAGAGTGCAGGGCTGATGTCAGGGTCACCCAGAGTGTGAAGAGAAGGAGGAGGAGTGTTTGTGTGTGTGTGTGTGTGTGTGTGTGTGTGTGTGTGTGTGTGTGTGTGTGTGTGTGTGTGTGCAGGGCTGTGAACAGGGGAGGTTTTGCTGAGCAGATCTGTCAGTACCTCTTTGGAGTCTTGCCAAACACACACTGCTCACTATCCCAGCTCTGTGTGTGTGCGTGCGTGTGTGTGTGTGGTGCACCAGTCACTGTTAGCCCCCGCCATCAGTTTTCAATTAGGGGGTTAGTCAAACTGAGCTAACCTCCATTTCCCTCCATAAAGTACATCACACAAGCATTATTACACTACATATTGCATATTACTGCTGTGTTATTGCAGTGGTAGGAGGACTACATGTAACCAGTTTTGTTAATGTAAGCTGTACTTGGATCTGTAGTAGTAGGTGTAGTGGTGGCAGGATTTGTACAAAATGTAGCAGCTTGCGTGTCTGTGTCAGCAGCAATGTAGTTTGGATACAATTTACCTACTATGAAGCAAGGAGACATCTGAGATTGCAAAGCACCACACACACACACACACACACACACACACACACACACACACAGTCCAAAAACCTTACACGCTGCACTGCCCCCCACTGGTTGATTGTGTTAATAGCAGCCACACTGTTGCTTCCCCTCTGTATGAAAACTCCTACTGAACTGCACTGCTGTGTAGTGCATCAGTTACTGACACGATACTGTCAAATCCCAACAGTGATACTACTACCACTGATACTAATCATTTATTATACTACTAGTAGTTTCAGTAGTTACTACTGCTGCTGCTGCAGAATCAGAACTACTGGCAAATACAAGGAATTAGACTTTGTGTTGCTCTCAGTGTTCTTACACAGTTCCAAGAACAATTTTCAGGATGATTCAGACGTAGACATACAGCTAAAGACAAGGACAACAAAGCTGAACAGATTGATAAACATAAACAATATTAACTATTATGTACAGTATATACCAGTAGGTGAATTATGCTGTTCTTTCTATAACCTCATTAGTCAAACCATGTGGTGTTATATTGTTTCACATTAGTACCAGTGCTAATTATTGCACCTGATTTTGGTTTAGTTTTAGTCTTAACCTTTTTACAAAAATATTTTACCTGTAATTACATTTTAGTCATTTGATTACCGTTGCTTTTCGTCTAGTCTTAGTAGACAAAAAATAAACATTTTAGTCTGGTTTAATCTGTCTCATTACTGTAATGCATTTTCTTTTTTGTTACAGCCACTCGCCTCTTTATTGTGCACAGTTACCATGGTTACAGTTGTTTATACCCAAATGAAATAGTTCACACACAGTGTCCATGTGATTCTGCTCTGCAGTAATAACAACGACTCTCCTCAGTAAATCCAGTTGTCATTACAAACTGTGGCTGCAGAGCCGCTAACTCTTTGTTGTTCACTTGACATTTCTGCAGCTAACTGCACTCTCCAATGCAGAACAGCTTATCATTCATTCACCTGTTCACTCAAATACTGTTCACTGTGTGAGTGAACTTGAGACAAGCAGTTAGTTCCTTAAAGGTCCGGTGTGTAACATTTAGGAGGTTCTATTGGCAGAAATAGAATATTAGCTATGTTTTCATTACCATATAATCACCTGAATATAAGAATCGTTATGTTTTCTTTACCTGAGATGAGCTGCTTTTGAATGCAGTTGCCATGGGTCGCCTTCTGTGGACTTGAGCCGGCCTGTTTCTACAGTAACCCATGTTGTGGCCACAGTGGTTTCTCCCTCGTGCTAGGAATAGAAGGGTGAAGCGAGTGAGTTGAACTCTGCAACTACACAGATAGTTGCCACTGAATCCTACACACTGGAACTTTAACACGAAAAAGTGGCAACTAAAAGTAACACTAACGTTCCCGCCATATATTCTATGGGTCTGGATAACGACTTGTTAGCTTACTGCTATATGTTGGTATGCTGGCCTGCCTCTTTTTGTGTTTATTTTCAAGCTGTGTTGTTGCCACTACTAATTTTCAACGGGATTTAGTCCAATCTATCTATCTATCTATCTATCTATCTATCTATCTATCTATCTATCTATCTATCTATCTATCTATCTATCTTCTCTCTCTCTCTCTCTCTCTCTCTCTCTCTCTCTCTCTCTCTCTCTCTATCTATCTATCTATGAATCACAGTACTGTCCTCATTAATCAGTGTGATCACAAAACATTCAGTGTTGCACAGTGTGAATGTTGCAGGCCAAACAAAGGATGGTTTGTTCACTTTCATAGAAAAAGAAACTTTTGACCTTGTGTCCTTAAATATTGAGTCAACAGTTTTATCATGCTTTGTATGTAAAAGCCATTATGTACATAGTACCTAAGGATTCAATAAAGGACTCATGATCATGAAACAAGCAACAAAGATCAAAACTGTTAGAGAAGGAGCAAGAGATAACTCTTGCGGGAAGGACTTGTGATCTGACTTTTACTGTAAAAACATCAATATTGTCAACTGTAGAGTCCTTATTACTGTAAGTCTTGATAAATTTATAAACAACCCTTTTCCAGTCACGAAAGCTGATATTGAACAGTCTGCAAAGCCTTGCGATATATTCAATGACATGGAAATTGTAAATAAAATATGGATATGGTTAGGGAATTAAAACTTGAGATCTTTGTAAGTCTGTGATGGGACACTAACTAGACATGAAATCCTGACACGCTAGAGTACCACCCTGGCCCTAAACCTTTTCCACCAACATAAATGTCACACTACTTAACTTGTGAACTTCAGAATTGTCCTCTATGAGTTTAATGCATAGGATGCATGGCTGGATTAAAATAGCCTAAGCCATGGGATGTATGTTGCTGCCATGAAGGCCACATTTTTCCAGCCCAGTATCCCTAGCAGTTCCATCCATTTTGTACAATTCCACGATTTACATCCAGTGCCACTGTCCAGTGCCAATGCAAGAAGTAGTGTGCCATTTGTGTAGCTAAGCTGAAAGTAATGGTGTGGACATTAGGGTGGTGAATGGTGGATGTGGGCTGTGACTTTTATGCAGGAGAATAGAGTTTATGTCCCATTACAGACCTGCAATTTACACCTTTAATGTAAATAACTGTTACTGTGATCTTTTCTGAACCTCAAAGCCTGGTGCACACCAGAGGATGTTCAGATCTTAACTGATTCCAAACATGAGAGACCACAGGCATAACTACAGATTAAACCAATATTTCAATAGTAAGGACGCCCCAGAAAATTCAGACAAGGCCACACACTCTGCGTTTATACAAATGATTTCAGAGTGGTGATTCCAGGGACTTGAGATCACACAAAAACTTGGGTGATCGAAAACAGACGTGGAGGTGGACCATCATCGTCAACTGGTTGCAGTTGTTTGTGCTATGTCATGGCTGGGCTGACTAAAACCTGAATTTGTGTTTGCATATTTTTGTTGCTAACAAACTTCCGTAGGTCTGACCAAACCCTGAAACCAGAAAAACATGCAGACAACAGAACTTTCTATGTGCGCACACACACACACACACACACACACACACAGTAGACATACAAGAACTAGAAAGAGAGACGGTGGGTGTGCAGGTGAAGACAGACAGAGAGAAAATATCTTCTCACACACACACACACACACACACACACACACACACACACACACACACACACACCCACACACACACACAGAGAGACACACACATAAACAAAGTAGGAAGGTTTATTTAACTGCCTCTTGAAAAGAAAAGCAAATGATCACACCCATTTTCTGTCTTTCATTCCCTAACGTTTTATTCTCTCTCTCTCTCTGTCTATCATCAGTATGATAACGAGATTGTAAGAGCTCGTTAACCTCACACACACACCACAGCTCAACCCAAAACCACAACGGCTTCGTGTGTCTTTCTCTCTCTCTCCCTCTGTCATCGCCGGATTTGAAAATACTTAGGATGAAGTAATATTTGCCTCCAACCATTTGTGTGTGTTTGTGTAAGAGCGAGAGGGAGAGATGATTCCATGTTAGAGTGTTTAACTAAGACTTACAGACCTCTCTCTCTCTCTCTCTCTCTCTCTCTCTCTCTCTCTCTCTCTCTCTGTGTGTGTGTGTGTGTGTGTGTGTTTTCGCTGGCAGCTTACAATGTCAGAATGTTGGCGACCAGGTGTAAAATGTCGCTTCCTCGGCAACCCTATAACCATGAACGGACAAACACTGAGAACAGCCAATCAGAGAGAAGAATGATGACTGTATTATAGCCTGGGTGTTATAGCGATATCACATGCTCACACACTCTGACCTGTCATCCATGTGAAGACATGTCATCCTCTTGGCATACAATGCCAGCTTTGTGGAGAGCTTTTAAATGATATCAAGCTCCTTCGTCGGAGTAAAATACCCTGATTCATTAAAGCTGAACTAATCAATATTTTTAGATTAATAATTGATCATGTTCATATGTAATGTGATAGGAGTTGCTTATAAGGATAAAGCCACAGAGCATTATCACCTGACTGCAGTTTTACGTCAACTCTAAAAAGCCTTCTGGCTGTTGGCTGTGTAATTAAAAATGGACGTAGTCTCCATGACATCATCCACAGGTTTCTGAGGAGCTGTTGTAAAGCTCAGTGTGGTCGGCTTTGGCTGTCACTATCTTGGCAATCTTGACTCTGCCGGCTCCCGGCCAACCCATAGATGGTCCAAGACGTGGATCGAGGGCGGAGCTGAAGGGGGCTGAATGAAGCCTGGTTACTGAAAGCAGCCTCCTGTGACAGCACCCTCCTGTCACTCAAAACATTTTAATCTGAGTCTCACTTCTGGAGCCAGTTTTTGTCACTTCCATGTTGGCTTCATTTGTCAGTCTCAGAGGCTGGGCACTTTTTACACTTGGCTGAGGTGGAAAAGTTGCTGTATTGATAAAAGCAAAATGTGACAAACCCCAATGGAAACAGACTTGGAGAACATGGATGACATACAGGAAGCATGTGACGTAAACATCCACTGAAGCCTCCGCTCCAATAGCTGCAGGTGAAATCATCTGAGCTGTGTTGAGCGATGAGGAGACTGTAACATTCCTCAAAGAAATACATAAAACAAATATAAATGCCATACTTCCATTGTGTTTTCTACATGATTAACTATGTCATCTTGTTGCATCCTCTTCTTCTACATATGACATAATGGCACCAAACTACAGGATCAGCGCCACCTGCTTATCTTGATGAATATCTTAATAAACTACCAATAATCTCATAACGATAGTGGATGGAAACAATCATCATTCACGTTTTCTTTTCCCGATGTTCTAGAAATTTGGTAAAATTTTAGTGAGACAAGACAAGATGCATTTTCTCTTTATATAATTAACCAAAACTGATCCCCCTTAACCAAGACCAACAGATTATAAAGTATTCTGTAGTGAAACAATCAGCTGATCATATCACGTTCGTTACCATAAAAATGATTAATCAACACAAATGCTCTGAAGCAAAGCCCTCCAGTATTTTGAGAAAGTAGCATGAGAAATTGTGCTAAGTGCTTACGAAATGTGATCACAAACCTCAGCCAGCTGTTAATCATGTTGTCTCACATATGCAGGAAGGCAGAATATGCAAGTCAGCTATGATTTCTGCACGCTGCAGGCAGGAGACAGGTCATATTTGTAAGTAGAAAGATAAATGCTGCCTGCTCAGCAACTGAAGTATGAGCAAGGAGACACACAGAAACACATTGTATCTCTTAATATATTTATCATAGAATTTAGTATTTTTAGTATTAGTATTATATTTATTATCAATGAGCTTTTGTGTGTTATATAGTTTCAACGGCTTACACATATTCCATATAGAACTGTGTGTAACACTCACCACAAGTCTTTATGCCATGTAGCACTTCTATTTATTGCTTAAAGGCTTGGTGTAATTGCTGCACATGTCTTCTCTAGTTGCATAGGGAGCTTTCCAAAGATTGATGATGTCATCATGTGTTAACCAGGGCTGGGCTGGGAGACCACAGTGTGTTACAAACTGGGGGCTTGGAGTTTGAAAGACATATATCAGTGATATAAAGAGATGCATTATGGGAAATCTCTGCTCTACCAATTCTTTTTCATTTGTCTCTTGCAAGTCCCACAGTCTTGTGCAAGTGCAATACTCTATTTCTGAAGTATACTGCTTTAAACAATAAAATAAAAATATTCCTAATTTAGTTGAACCAACCCTTCAATGAACTAACAGTACTTTTCCCAATCTTTCACTATAACGGAGACACAGCTGCCAGAAAGCAGAAAGCATCCTAACAACACTGGTTTTGTGTAACTGACATCCACCTCCACATGAATGAGGTGGATTTACAATGACTAATGTCTATCAGTGTGAGTGCCAGCTCCAGTTACACTAATGCAAAATGTAAATCCATAGCACACACCGGCTTCATGAAACCTTAAATGAAGTGATGCCACCCCCCTTGGCAAGCTGTAGATCACTCAACTAAAGACTGATTTTCTCTTGTAAAGTTGTTACATTTTATTATAAGTTCAGGCCCACAGGCTGGAAACTATACAGTATTTCATGAGGAAAATGCCACAAAGAAAGACACTGACATGATAATACTTTTGTATAGCAGAAATATGATTCTTTCCTGTTCCATGTATCATCTTACAACTGCCAGAGGGGTCCTCATCCTCAGGTTGAGCTCACTGATAACACTGGACCACACTGCCCCTA